AGAAGCAACGCAACTGGTATGTACAAGACGCCTTAATCCACTTGACCATCACGACCGGACATAATGAGGTGATAGCCGAGGCTATTTGAACCTCCCCACCGCCGGCACTCGGATAGTTATCTTGGGCATAGCATTTTACCAAATCACCTCATTCTTAGGGGCACACGTGAGGAACACAAATGCGAACAAGCCAGAATGGTCCCCTGGACAATATGCAACTGAAAACTCACACCCCAGAAGTGACTCGAACCCATACTCCCAGAAGCAACGCAACTGGTATGTACAAGACGCCTTAATCCACTTGACCATCACGACCGGACATAATGAGGTGATAGCCGAGGCTATTTGAACCACCCCACCGCCGGCACTCGGATAGTTATCTTGGGCATAGCATTTTACCAAATCACCTCATTCTTAGGGGCACACGTGAGGAACACAAATCACCTCATTATGTCCGGTCGTGATGGTCAAGTGGATTAAGGCGTCTTGTACATACCAGTTGCGTTGCTTCTGGGAGTATGGGTTCGAGTCACTTCTGGGGTGTGAGTTTTCAGTTGCATATTGTCCAGGGGACCATTCTGGCTTGTTCGCATTTGTGTTCCTCACGTGTGCCCCTAAGAATGAGGTGATTTGGTAAAATGCTATGCCCAAGGTAACTATCCGAGTGCCGGCGGTGGGGGGGTTCAAATAGCCTCGGCTATCACCTCATTATGTCCGGTCGTGATGGTCAAGTGGATTAAGGCGTCTTGTACATACCAGTTGCGTTGCTTCTGGGAGTATGGGTTCGAGTCACTTCTGGGGTGTGAGTTTTCAGTTGCATATTGTCCAGGGGACAATTCTGGCTTGTTCGCATATATATATATATATATATATATATATATATATATGCGAACAAGCCTGAATGGTCCCCAGGACTATATGCGAATGAAAACTCACACCCCAGAAGTGACTCGAACCCATACTCCCAGAAGCAACGCAACTGGTAACTACAGGGCGCCTTAATCCGCTTGACCATCACGGCCGTCAAAAGGAAGTGATAGCCGAGGCTATTTGAGCCACTTCCCCGACGGCAACTCGGATGGTAATCTTGGGCATAGCATTTCACCAAATCACCTCATTCTTTGGGGCACACGTGAGGAACACAAATGCGAACAAGCCTGAATGGTCCCCAGGACTATATGCGAATGAAAACTCACACCCCAGAAGTGACTCGAACCCATACTCCCAGAAGCAACGCAACTGGTAACTACAGGGCGCCTTAATCCGCTTGACCATCACGGCCGTCAAAAGGAAGTGATAGCCGAGGCTATTTGAGCCACTTCCCCGACGGCAACTCGGATGGTAATCTTGGGCATAGCATTTCACCAAATCACTTCATTCTTTGGGGCACACGTGAGGAACACAAATGCGAACAAGCCTGAATGGTCCCCAGGACTATATGCGAATGAAAACTCACACCCCAGAAGTGACTCGAACCCATACTCCCAGAAGCAACGCAACTGGTAACTACAGGGCGCCTTAATCCGCTTGACCATCACGGCCGTCAAAAGGAAGTGATAGCCGAGGCTATTTGAGCCACTTCCCCGACGGCAACTCGGATGGTAATCTTGGGCATAGCATTTCACCAAATCACCTCATTCTTTGGGGCACACGTGAGGAACACAAATGCGAACAAGCCTGAATGGTCCCCAGGACTATATGCGAATGAAAACTCACACCCCAGAAGTGACTCGAACCCATACTCCCAGAAGCAACGCAACTGGTAACTACAGGGCGCCTTAATCCGCTTGACCATCACGGCCGTCAAAAGGAAGTGATAGCCGAGGCTATTTGAGCCACTTCCCCGACGGCAACTCGGATGGTAATCTTGGGCATAGCATTTCACCAAATCACCTCATTCTTTGGGGCACACGTGAGGAACACAAATGCGAACAAGCCTGAATGGTCCCCAGGACTATATGCGAATGAAAACTCACACCCCAGAAGTGACTCGAACCCATACTCCCAGAAGCAACGCAACTGGTAACTACAGGGCGCCTTAATCCGCTTGACCATCACGCTTGTGATGGTCAATCTTAATCCGCTTGTGTTCCTCACGTGTGCCCCAAAGAATGAGGTGATTTGGTGAAATGCTATGCCCAAGATTACCATCCGAGTTGCCGTCGGGGAAGTGGCTCAAATAGCCTCGGCTATCACTTCCTTTTGACGGCCGTGATGGTCAAGCGGATTAAGGCGCCCTGTAGTTACCAGTTGCGTTGCTTCTGGGAGTATGGGTTCGAGTCACTTCTGGGGTGTGAGTTTTCATTCGCATATAGTCCTGGGGACCATTCAGGCTTGTTCGCATTTGTGTTCCTCACGTGTGCCCCAAAGAATGAGGTGATTTGGTGAAATGCTATGCCCAAGATTACCATCCGAGTTGCCGTCGGGGAAGTGGCTCAAATAGCCTCGGCTATCACTTCCTTTTGACGGTCGTGATGGTCAAGCGGATTAAGGCGCCCTGTAGTTACCAGTTGCGTTGCTTCTGGGAGTATGGGTTCGAGTCACTTCTGGGGTGTGAGTTTTCATTCGCATATAGTCCTGGGGACCATTCAGGCTTGTTCGCATTTGTGTTCCTCACGTGTGCCCCAAAGAATGAGGTGATTTGGTGAAATGCTATGCCCAAGATTACCATCCGAGTTGCCGTCGGGGAAGTGGCTCAAATAGCCTCGGCTATCACTTCCTTTTGACGGCCGTGATGGTCAAGCGGATTAAGGCGCCCTGTAGTTACCAGTTGCGTTGCTTCTGGGAGTATGGGTTCGAGTCACTTCTGGGGTGTGAGTTTTCATTCGCATATAGTCCTGGGGACCATTCAGGCTTGTTCGCATTTGTGTTCCTCACGTGTGCCCCAAAGAATGAGGTGATTTGGTGAAATGCTATGCCCAAGATTACCATCCGAGTTGCCGTCGGGGAAGTGGCTCAAATAGCCTCGGCTATCACTTCCTTTTGACGGCCGTGATGGTCAAGCGGATTAAGGCGCCCTGTAGTTACCAGTTGCGTTGCTTCTGGGAGTATGGGTTCGAGTCACTTCTGGGGTGTGAGTTTTCATTCATATATATATATATATATATATATATATATATATATATATATATATATATATATATATATATATATATATATGTATATATATATATATATATATATATACTTAAGGCACAACTCTCCTAAACACGAGAGTTAAGTATACAACTTTAGAACACTTTCCCACCAGGAGACTCCTGGTGGGAAAGTGTTCTTTCCCACCAGGAGTCTCCTGGTGGGAAAGTGTTCTAAAGTTGTATACTTAACTCTCGTGTTTAGGAGAGTTGTGCCTTAAGCAGAGACACTGTGTCTTCCCATATTAACAGGGACTTGATGAAATTAACGTCTAAATGACCCCTCACTTGCTCTGGTGCCCTTGGGAGGTGTTGATCTTTGGGGGATTTAAATACTCCGAAATTACCATCTCTTTTAAGGGTCTGAGCGGTGGTGCAGAGGGTTAAGGCGTACCTGTTATGCCAGTTGCTGGAAGGCTTCTGTGCTGGCTAGGGTTCGAGTCTCCTGGTGGGAAAGTGTTCTAAAGTTGTATATATATATATATATATATATATATATATATATATATATATATATATATATATATATATATATATATATATATATATATATATATATATTTTCCCCAAAATCCCCAAAATCCCACAAGCAATCCAGCTGGGATGGTCCCATTGTAGACCAAGTTGCTGCAGAGTGCCTGGGTGCTGCAACAACACAACACGACATTGCTCGCCTCACAGCAGTAGCAGCACCACATGCAGGGGATTTCCTGTTAGCAACCCCAATGTCGGCAACTGGCACGCGTCTCACACCACACGCCCTCCGAATTGCTGTGGCCCTCCGCCTTGCTGCCCCAATCCACACCAGATATAGGTGTATTTGCGGCGAGGTGGTGGCTGACAGGTACGGTCACCATGGCCTACTCTGCCAAAGCACAGGGGGATGGCACTCGAGGCACAGTGAAGTTAACGACATCATCAAGAGGAGCCTCACCACAGCTGGATGCCCAGCTGAAAGAGAGCCCCGTTACCTAACGCCCCGTAACTCTGATGCTCTTATTGGTCGCCCGGATGGTATCACAGTGAACCCCTGGAAGAATGGCAAGCAGTTGGTATGGGACTACACATGCGTATCAACCCTGGCTAACACCTACATTAACCTCAGTGTTGCACAACCAGGTGGCGCTGCCACCCACAGGGAAGCAGCCAAATCCCGTAAGTATAGAGAACTGGATCACCACTACAATTTTGTCCCCATTGCTTCTGAGACGCTCGGCGCCTGGGGTAAAAGTGCTACCAGTTTTTTGAAGGAACTGGGTTCTAGGCTCATTGAAACAACAAGGGACCCGAGAGCTGCAAGCTTTCTTTTCCAGCGCCTCAGTGTGGCGATACAGAGGGGAAATGCGCACTGCATCCAGGGTTCCTGCCCGCCATCTGAGGAGCTGGAGGAACTCGACAACCTATGACAACCATCTTTGTAACCCATATGTAACTCCTTTTTTGTAACAAAGTTCAAATAAAGTAAATATATATGTGTACATACAAAAGAATGGGGGTGGTAGGAGAAGATAATATTAGTGTTCAGTGAGAAACCACAAGGTCTCCTCTGAATACTTTTTATTTTCTTCTCCGAGGCTATGGGTCCCCACATTGGCACCAGAGGTGGTACCCTCACAAACTTTTTATATATATATATATATATATACACACACACACACACACACACACACACACACACACACACACACACACACACACACACACACACATACACACACACACACACATATATATGTTTTTTTTTTTTTTTTAACCTGTGAGGAGTGTTGCCAGGGATCTTGATGGGTTCAGATTAAATCCCTGGTATAACCATTCAGCCCCACCCCAACATACTTCATTCGGCCCCAAGGTCATAATGTATCTTACTTTTAAACTCTTTGGCTGCTGCTTCTGTTGTAATGCATGCTTTTTCCGAAGATCTCTCTCAACTCTCTTCATATATTCATGCTGACTGCTCAATTCTGTTTGGTGTTGTTTATTCATCTGAAAAAAAAAAAAATTGTAAATAATAGGCTATGCTTCCAACTTTGTAATCAATCAGAATCTTTTATGCTGATTGCTTAACAGAAGCCATTCAATGCTCTTCTTCACTCTTCTCACTTACCGGCTGTACAACGTTTGATCAGAGAGAAATGTTTGAAACAATGACAATGTATGTAAACTTATAAAGAGAAACAAAGGGAATTAGTAAATGCTCAGTACATCCTGGGTTCCTGCCTAACATTTAAAGATTCCAAGTCAAACATTTCTTACTCTGGCATTTTTCAGTAACTTATCTTTTCATTAGAGAAAACAAAATCTAGCCTCCCGACATAAACACAATTTCACATGTATTACAAGTGCACCCAATGCAGACTTTTATGCAATTATGTTGACAAATATCAAACCAGCAGCATTTCAAGAGAACTTTCTGCAGCACAATGATATAAATCAGTGACAATGGTTTTATATTTTCAAAAAACCAGCGTTGAATGTAATGAAATGCCATTTTCTGGGCGAGTCCCGGAGGCTCCCCGGAGCTATCCAGGCTGAATGGATATGTATAACTTTCTGGCATCAGTCAAAGTGCTTGGAGTTCTTGCCTACCGGGGACCACGAGCCAGAACCTGGCCCCCTCAGAGAGGCACGAGGAGCAATGGCCTATAGAAACCCCCCTGTGGTTGGGAGCATTCTGTCTGCCATCGACCAGGACAGGTTACCCAGAAAGACAGGTGCCCCAAAACAAACCCCTATTCCCGGTGAAAATATTGCTACCGAAAGCCGAACGAGTAGACAGAACACCCAAAACAAAATTATCAAAGAAGCATGACATCATCACATTGCAATGCCGCCATCTGCGTAACCCCCCCCCCCCAGGACGGGAGCCCCTGACCATCCACACCAGCGATCCAACCGGCAGTTCTTAGACTAGATGTCAAAATATACTCGAAAAACACCGCCGACCGGAGGGAGGGAGAGAGGGATGCCAGGGAGCGTCATACACTCACCCAGAAAATGGCGTTTCATTACATTCAACGCTGGTTTTCTGGGGGGAGCCCCGTCAGCTTCCCAACGCTACCTAACCACAGACAAGGAAAAGAGAGAAGGATCTGGGAGGCAGTCGCCATGCGCCCTAAACTTAAAAACAAAACCACAGATGAAACTAAAAGACCCTGCAGTCCCGAACCTCAGAACAGGAATGAGGGTAGGAAGGGAACCCGGTCTAACCAACACGCATCCATGACCCCAGAGGCCAAGACGCGCAGCGAACAGCGAAGAACCGCAACCGAACAATAAAGGAAGCACCCCCGGCCAGACCAACCAAGTAGCAACCCAAGGACCAAAACGAGGAAAAGAAAGAAAATAGACCACCCGGGCCAATGACTAGGACAGCACCGGAAACGCAAGAGCAGGCCGGAGGGAAAACAATACCCAAGACAGCAAGCGGAATGGAGCAAAAGGAACACCACCACCACCAAACGGCAGCTGGAGCGGCTCCACCAACACCACCCAAGACGAGGAGACAGTACACGGTACCAGACGACGGTCCCGGAACAACCCAGAAGGGAAAGACAAGACAACCCGATCAGACACCAAAGGACCCTTTGCATTGATAGGAAAACCGGAAAGACCGCCAGGAAAACTACACACCACTATTGAGATGAAGCACGTAGGCAGGAGACCCAACAACAAAGCCACCAGTGCCCACACAAGCGACAAGAAACTAAAGACAAAAAACCCGAGACGTGAAGACTCGAAGGGAAGAACGAACCAGCCCTATACAGGGCTGGACCAATCCACAAAAAGAGGTGGAGCTGCGGGAAGACCCACAGGACCGGAACCGAGTAAAGCAGCAGGTGTTGCGAAAGCAGGCAAAAACCAGAAGGAATGGCCGCCAGAGAAACCAGGAATCTAACCCCAGCGAGCCGAAAAGGAACCAACCCGGGCGAGCAGACACGCCCCGTCCAGGAGGAAAATCCCCCCCAGAACCCCTGAAGCACCAACAAGGCCAAACACCGAGGAGCCAAGGCCCAGGCAGAGGCCAACGAGAAAAACGAGCACCACGGACAAAAGCGCAAGGCGCAAAGCGAAAAACAGCGACCCCACAACCCAAAGGAGCTGCGCAACCAGCTCTAGCAGGGAAGAACGATGCACGCGTTCCCGAGGTATATATAAGGAGAACTACGAAGGACGTGAACCTCAGGAAAACAAAAACACACGGTCCGGAAAAGGAACAAAGAAAAGACGGAGCCAGGACCGGAATCCCAGCTACCCGTCCCAAGAAAAGGAACCAGTAGGACAGGAGCGGTATACCGAATTCTACAACCCCCACAGACAGTGCAACTCAGAAGCCTGCAGTGAGATACAAAGAAAAATTAAGGAACTCGGTACCAAAACCAAACAACAGGGTAGTCCAAAAGCAGGGAACTGAACATAGATAGAGGCCCACCCCAGCACCTAACATCAGTATAGCCAATAAGCACCAACCCAGATACACAGCTATGTGTAGCATAGGAGGAGGAAAAATGGAAACAGGCAAGGAAAACCCCCGAATATGGATCAAGTAGCAGGTGGTAACACCATGTACACGACCGACCACAAAGTATGTAGTGGCAGTCGCACATACATAGAGGGACACCATGGATATCAGGGTGCAGCCAGGCACCGAAGATAGGCAAGGAAGGAGGATACAGACGCACGGACCGAGGGAACGAAGGAGTGTTCAAATACTGTATAGGGAAAAGACCCAGGTGCCGAAAAACTAAACAAAAAGCACCAAAATGTGGGGCAGTGCCCCACAGTACAGCTAAGAACAAGATACACGGACACAGTCATCACAGAAGACACACACAATACCTAACAACCCAATTAGGAGCCATTGACACAACCCTGTCAAGTCAGGAAGTGACAGAGTAAACAAGGATGGAGTAGTGAAAATGTTGGTACACACACAAGGGGACACAGGAGGAAGCTGAGTACTCAAATGAGCCACAGACAGCAAAAAGAACCCAATCAATGTCAGAGGAGGCAGGATATGGAATGCACTAGGAAATGATGTGGTGGAGGCAAACCTCACACACAGTTGCAAACGTAGATAAGATAGAGCCCAGTAGGCTCAGGAAACTGCACACCCATCGACCAACAGGTGAGAGTTAGGACCAAAGAGCCACAGCTCAACTCCCGCAAACACAACTAGGCAAGTACCCCGCGAAAAATCAAGAACCAGCACCAGGCCGACAGAGTTGCCAGACAGTACAATCTCACCTGCAGAGTGGAGACACGACCGTGCCACAACACAGTCGAGCCGAGTAACATACCAGGAGCATCACTAGTGGTTTGCCCGAAATGCTATGCGTAGTAGAGGCTGTAGGTATTGTTTGTACTTTTACCTGAATAAAATTTTCGAAGTTGAATATGAAATACGTCCAGAGGTGCGTGCCCAGCAGAAGACGATGTGCTGTACATAGATGGAACAAAGAAAAGACGGAACCAGGACACCCGTAAGCAAAGAAAAGAACGAAGTGACGTCCCCACATATAAAATCCAGAACACCCCCAGCATCCAGAGGGCTATGACTGGAGAGAGAAGACGAGCGAGAAGCCATAGAAAACCACGATAAACGACACGGAACACACGAGTAGTCAGCCCAAACACAAAACGAACACCCTGGCCCCAGTGTGCAAGGTACGAACTGTACCATCTGTCTACTGGCTGGCGCGGCTCGTACACCAGTCGGACACGCACATATCATATATACTGTACACACATCATACATACACCAGCAAGGCACACGTAATGTATACGAGGAATGTCAAAATAGGAAGGAGAGACGATGTGAAAACAAAATAAGGCGAAACAGAAGCGAAAGAAGACAAGGAGGACGGAAGGGGACCAATGAGTCCGAAAAGGACCAGAGGGAAACCTCAACGGAAGTCAACAGACATTCCAAGAATATTGAAGGTATGAAGAGGTTCGCGAACCAACGAGAACCATGACAAGCAAGCACAAATGCACGGAGGTACATACGGACAAAAAGACACCCCTGATCAAGGGACATGCAGGGACCCAGATACAAAGGGAACAGTATCGCGAAATAAGCGCGAAAAGGGTGAGGAAAAGGCGCAAAACACACCCCCAGGAATGATGGAACCGACGGACTCGAAGGGACATGGAACCGAACCCAAGGAGGGGTAGACCCGAAACCAACACAAACGCAGAGGGGGAAAGAAAAATCCCACTCTGAGGAACTGCAAGCCCCGCACCGAGGGAACAAAGACCCAACAAGGCAATACGTGGCCGAGGCCCCCCAGGCAACCCCTCCCCAATCCCGGGAACCTCTATGGCAGGACCCAGGGCTGAGCCATATCCCCCAAAGCCCCTGCCTCATAAGGAAAAGCCGGGGCAGCCAAACAAAACACTAAGGAAGGGAGCCCACTGGTCAGACCCATTCGGCATGACTGGAGGAATAGGTTCGAATGTCTCTACCGCCACCCCGGAAGAGGAAAACCCCCGAGACCGCCCGAGTCTCAACCCAACCAGACCCTGCTCCAACTCCAAAACCCACGGTTCAGAGCCGGAAGCAAGGAGATGAAGTATGCACAACAAAGGGGAAAGAACTAGGAGGAGCGGAAGAAACCAGAGCCGAAGTGACCTCCACCCCCAAGTCCGGATCCCTACAACCAAAACGGGGCAGTCTCTGGGCATCCGGGGCCGCAATCAAGCTAGAGCGTTGCAGCAACCTAAACCTAGCATGCAACGCTGCAGCCACCTGCACCTGCTTATCATGACCAGCTGCCTGGGTGACTGAGAGCACGAACAGAAAAATCCCATCGCACGACTCCGGGTCAAAAGAAACTACGACCCAACAGGCAGCATGGCAGAGGCACAACCGGTGAGTGACACCCTGAGACAAGGGGAGAGATCAACCATCAAACTCACAAGATGCGAGTGGGAGACTCAGGGGTCACATCCATCAGACCACGGAGCCCCCGTGGGGGTTTCCCGGGGCTCTTAGCCATGGTTACACGCTAAGGGAAGCCCAGGCAGGGTACTGCAAACTGGCGCCCAAGTCTACCAAACAAACCTCTAAAAGCTGAACCCCCAGGACGTGACCATTCACGGGGGCCAAGCGGGAAGTACCACCAACAGAAATATATATATATAAAACCCCTAGAACAGCAAAGGGGGACCATAAAGGCAGACCCCCTCCACAAGGCAAAAACAAAAGAAAAACAATCTATTATACAATCTAGCATTAAAACAAATGTAACTTTCTAAAATATATTAGCACATTATTAAATAACATTTCAAGCTTAAAAATTACAAAGTGAAGGATAAGAAGCTAAAGTATAAGAATTATGTAAAAGAAATATACATTAAATTTCTTTAGATAGATACTAGAGCACAAATAGCTAATTCTAACAAATTTTGTTATGTAAAAATGAAATAAAAAAGATAGATATCCAGTCAGATAATAGCCAGATAAATGCCACATTCCTAGTGTTGTATAAATTGAAAAATGCCATGAGCTTTTGCATATCTAACCCTTGACACAGACCTTTAACACCAGAGATAAACAAAAATAAATACATAAATAACTAATATGAATTTACCTGTTCCTCCTTCAAAGCATGAATAGCTCTTTGCTGGCGATATTCAAGGTCCTGTGTTAACTGATGGTGTCTTAGAAGCATTGAATGAGCAGTCTCTAGCTGCTGTTCTCTCTTGATAAGCTCCTCTTTGAGGAGAGACTGTTCTTTAACATAGTATGCCAAAAGGCCACGTCGACGGAACTTTCGAGTTTCTAATTGAAGGTATTCTCCCTGCTGCTGCATTAGCTTTTGTTCTTCTTGTCGTTCTGAGGCTTTAAGATATTCTTTCTGAGACCTACAAAAAACAGCATAAAATGTAATAAAGTACCTCTACAGGGAGCCTCAGTGGCTCCCTGTAATCACACTGAGATAGCTCCACACACATGATCCCCTGTAAGTCCTTAATAGCCTACTGGAGACCAGAGGGCAAAACTTTGCCTCCCTCCCTCCTCAAGGATGCAAACATGCTTCATAATCACCCCTCACAGAAGAAACAATCCCACAAACAGGAAACAGAAAAATAGACAACTGCATGGTTTACAGACAGTAAAAAATGCAGCAAATGATTTAGTAAATGATCCAGCCAATAGTTAGGTCATACATCTCCCACTAGTAACAGTGGACCACCATAAGGTGGCACCACCACAGGAGCTGTCGGCTCCCCAAGAACATAATCACCAGTTCAAAACCAAAAAATAGAAACTGATACGCTAGGTAGGGAGGGAAGGGTCCAAAAAACCACCAAGGCCCCTCCCCCAGAAAGACACATTTCATAACTTTCAAGGCTGGTTTTCTGCAGAGGCCAAATGGTAGCATCCTTTAACCCTTAAACCATTAAGGGTTTAACCATTTTGTTAAACCATTAAGGGTTTAAACCATTTTGGCCTGCAACACCGCCAGGCACAACAACAAAAAAATACCAAAAAAATTCTTTCGTCTCATAAAAAGTATTCATTTGTGTTTCCTGATCACGGGAAAAAGAATAAAAGAATCGTAGGTGACATATTTTGGCTGCAATAGGGCAGGGGAGTCTGGCAAAAAAAAAAAGAGGCATTGACAGAGCAAGCTTCTGAGGCAGTCTGCTCCGCCTGAGCTGTCAGACTGGAGTTGCCACAAAGATATTATTACCTAATTATTTAAATGTCTGATTTTTTTTTTTTTTTGCAGTAATATTATTCAATAGTGTGTAGTGTGATATATTTATATAATAAAATGTGTGAACATCGCTATACTTAAAATTATGATGTGCATATTAGTGATTCAATTGTTACGTTCATAACACAATAAACAAATAGTTTTGCTGTTATTACACTATATACACAGATTATATACAAGTATCTGCATGTTTTGGTCACCATAACGAACTACTAAGTTGTTATGGTGAGTCAGAAACCAACGAGGAGTGGCCACCACACCTGCCAGCCAGCCACTGGCCGCCAGTCCCTTCCTCACCTCACCTCACTCACCAACATTCTCCTACCACAATACTGTTTTCTTGCTTTTATTCACTATATACAGACGTTATATATAAGTATCTACATGTTTTATTCACCATAACTGTTCATTTAAGCTGGTATGGTGAATTCAGGCAATAACAGAAGTCACCACACAGAGTCAGCTAAAACAATTTGTTCATTGATGTATCACGCTATTGTGATTTCTGTGTGTAATAGAGTCAGCTAACGCTCCCTCCTTCCCTCAGTCGTTCAATGCCAAACACACTAACATTCCTCCTCCAACCATACTATTTGTGGTGTTATTACACTATACACACACACTATATATATAAGTACCTGCATGTTTATTCACCATAACTGTACAACTAAGCTGATATGGTGCCCAAACATCATAGTGGCAACCACACACTGCATGACAAGTCATGCAGACAATGCCACCTCCCTCACCAAAATGGCTCCTCCCAACATACTCTTTTGCTGTTATTACACTATATACACATGTTATATATAAGTATCTATATTTGTGTTCACCACAGCGAACCACTAAGCTGGTATGGTGAGTCCAGACAGTAAAAGGTGGTCACACCTTTTGGACAGTGGAGGGAGGAGTAATCTTGGTGGGGAGGGAGGTAGTATTATCTGCTGACTCTGTGTAACTACACTACACTTAGGTAATTACACAGAGTCAGCAGATAACACTACCTCCCTCCCCACCAAGATTAATCCTCCCTCCACAGCACTATTTATCACCACAATCCTGCTATTTTCAAAATCCTGGTCATATTTATCAGTCAGGGGTCTTCTGTAATACTATCATCGCTAAATAATACATACATTTTTTTTACATTTTTAGGCAACGCTGTGTTCACAAGCTGAACAGCAGTGCTGTTAGCTCATGCTGCATACGCCAGCCTTGGTTGCTCACTCAGTACCGAGGCTCTCACACCCTGATATGTTACCCATGATTTTTTTTCAAGAAGGCATTTGTTTACTATTGGCCGGGCTGGACTATAGCTGCCCCTATCCCTCGCGAGGCATTTCAAATCATGTGCTACACACTCAATTGTATATGTACGATTTCATGACGGTTACTCCCATCGTAAATGTATATATTGTGCGGTTTTAGTTAACCACAAAAGTTATTAATGGGACACAACAGGAAAGGAGGAGCAGAAAGATCAAAACCCAAAAGGAAAGAGACCACAAGGAAACTATATCCTGGGCAACATAAGTGTGGGGGTTTTCTAATTTGCTTTCCCGACTGCAATGCATACGTCACCAATATACATGTGGCAGATGCTTCACGAAGCTGTCAGAATCCAGCAGAGAAAATACGAGAGCAACTGTACAGGGCCTGGGAGCAAGGTCAAGTTAGAGTCCTTGAGGGTCTCTTCTCAGACTAGTCTCACCTGGTCCTGATCCACGTTGGTCGTTAGAATCTCGTAAATGCTTGAAACACTTTAAGGGACTCCTAGGGTCCTCATCACATTTATAGATTTGTGAATAATAGGCAACTCGGTGTTGAAGTCACAGGGAGCTGAAGGCTTAAGTAAAATAGTTGGCAGTATTCAGAAATGGTTCAACGGAAACACTGCATAAAGCTTAACAGTAGTTTATTTACTAACTTAACCACTAATACAAAGGGTGCTTGATTTACTTTAGATTGGCGTCAGAAAGGCTATGGTTGCATTAGAAAGACTCTTGACTGACTCTTGACTCTAGAATCGACTCGGATCCACTCGTAGAGAAACACCTAACTTAACACAATTGACAGCCAATCATTAACATGGCAAACCTAACTGCCGGTATGCAAAGGGATTACAAGAGTTCTAACGGATACTCAGGTAATGATGATGCGCAATAAATCATGAAACCTCTACATGAGAATAGGAACAGAGAAGAAATAATTTTTTTCTACAAGGTGATTGGGATCGTAACATGAAACAAAACAACAAAATCATTAATGGAAAGGGATCAACCCTTCGGCTGCACATTACACCATATGATGGGGTGAGAAGTTATCATCAGACTGTGTATTACATCAAATGAAGTAGTAGGGTATAGCGTAAGATTTTAAAACTCCCGCTGCTACACTGGGCTCACATCGGCTTCCCCAGGCCTCCAGTAAACATATGCTATTTTGAAACAAAATCAAGGGGACTATTTCTGAGTGTGAAAACCACAGTACTGAGTGAGCTACAATCCACTAGCAAGCAACGCAGAGGAGGAGCTGGACAACAAACAAGAGGGCCTCATAATGATCAAGAGATATTATACTAAGCCCAAATAAAGATAAATCATGACTGTTCATGACTTCAACTTGAAATCAATAAGGTGGGAGGTCTATGAAACAAGAACAGAAGGCATTTGGACAGGCAGATTCATAAACCTCATCAGAGACACATTCCTGTATCAACACGTTAAGGGGCCGTCTGGTTATTATAATGAAAGTTGTTCAATGTCAACCAATATTAATTTTCTAGTTGTATATGAAAAGTGCTTAAATTGTCCCAAGTTTCAGTACTGCAGCGTAAATAGAAAGGGAGTTTTTTTTTTTTGAACGTTTTTTACACATTTTCAAGTCCACACTTCAGAACACACGTTTCAGATATAATTATTCTGTGACACTTTTCTGACACATTAGCATATAATAAAGGATTTGGGGATTTAGAATTTCCAAAACATCTTTAGTTTTCCTAATACAAATGTTCAAAGTTCCCCAAAAATTGTTTGCAAATATGGCATGTTTATTGCTATTATAAAATCAATAAATGAACTTAGAGAAAAATGAAAGCCCCCCAATGTAGAGACATGCCCTCCACATATACTGTGTAAGTTTCATGTAAATTGAATAAAAAAGGAATCAGTTTTGTAAACGTTTGTGTCAATTGAAAAAAAAAACAGAAATGAATAAAGTCTAAGGTTCTAAAATCTGTGGCTGGGGTTGACATCAACCAATTTTCTCCAAAATTGACATCCTTACAGATAGGCTTACGTACAGTCAGGTGTGTAAGTTTGATGCAAATCGCCCAAAAAAAAATGAAAAAAAAAAAAATATTTAAAAAAAAAAAAAAAATAAAAAATCCTTTTTTTTTTTCCTTAAAATTTTTTTCCAACTAAACTAATTATAATATTTGTTTAATATATGCTATTGTGACAGCAAAGAGTCGTAGTTATTATTTCAGTTGACACTTTTGATTGATAATCGATTTTGACCATTTTTGCATAATTTTCACAACTATTTCAATATTTTTTTTCTCCCTTCCTATTTATGCTACAATGCTGAAACTTGGACCAGATGAAACACTTTTCATATAGAACTTGTCAAAAAAGTTTGATTGAAATCGAATGAGTTTTCATTTTTGCATTTTTGGACCCAGATGCCAACCAGACAGGTCACAAGAATGAAGGAAGGGGATGTTCCATCAATGCTGGATTTAATATTCAACAGGTAGAAGGATATATTTGAACTAGAAAACAGGACATTCAACAGAAACTGCAAGAGTGCCAAAGAAAAAGAAACAAAAAACCAGCGTTGAATGTAATGAAACGCCATTTTCTGGGGGACACCCGGAGGCTCCCCGGAGCTTTACCGGCTGATATGCTAATGTCAGACTTTGGCATCAGTCATGTGTATGGAGTTCTAGGGCCTACCGGGGACCACGAGCCAGAACCTGGCCCCCTCAGAGAGGCAAGGGGAGCAATGGCCTATAGAAACCCCCGTGTGGTTGAAAGCATTCTATGTCTGCCATCGACCGGGTCAAGCATCCAGAAAGGTAAGCATTCCAAAACAAACCCCTATTCTGGTGAAAATTGCTACCTAAAGCCGAACTAGTGG